CCCCTCGATTTCCGGTTTTGTTTTGTAGAAAACATGGAAACACCAAAGACGCTTTAATATGTTGTGTGTTTTAATAGACCGGTGACGACCGCACAGAGTAGCATTATAACAGAACTTTCAAATGTATCTAGTACGATAAAACAGCGCTGCTTTTTTCCCCCACATACGCACGACCGGAAGGAGCGGAAGCGGTCGACTGTGGCATAATAAAAGCTCCTCTGCTTTCGAGCCGTGTGTCATGCTCGTTCAGCAGCCTTGTTTCGCTTCGACGGCTTTCAGCCTTTCTGCTTCATTCTACTACATTAATAAATCATTAGCTCATCCATGAACATGATTTCTGCGATTGCATCGGCTGTGGGGATGAAGACAACAACTCCCATGATTCCACACTCAGTCACAGCATCAAACTATGCCTTTGTCTCTTTGTTTATTTTGAATACGCGCCCTCTAGCGGCGAAAATTACATATTGTGCCTTTAAATAATATTTAAGTTATTTGTATAATAAATCTATTTACTACACACATTACTGAAATAAATGAAAAATTCAAGTTAATAGCCTCTTACCATACTAACTTACAAACATTTGCAACAGAACTATATTAGTTTGGCTATACTATATTTATTATAGTCCGCTATAGTTTAGATTTTTGAGCTGAACAAAATAACTTGGTTCTAATATACGTATTAATCATTTGTGATACACGACACATTAACCAACACAACGGGATAAGTAGACGGCGTTCAATGGTTAATCAATATATGTATATGGAGTACAAAACCGCAACTCTACAGCGTAACAGGCGAATAATTGGTAAAATATTGAAGATAAGATAAAGCAGTTTCACCTACCAGTTTGGAAAATAGAACTCTTTAAACTTATATCCAATCGATTGGAAATACTGGGAAACGCTGAGAAACGGCAGACAGTGTGTTTGTGTGGAGCTCTCGCGCGTCGCGTGGAGCAAAGAGCGCTAAGCGCGTGTCTGTCCGCAGCTTTTGTGATGTAAATGTCAAGCGCTACAACTGCGCGCTCACTCACTGACTTCTGCTACAACACAAAACAGCACAGCTGTCACCTGCCCGACTGTCATCGCCAGACCAAAGAAAACGGACAAGACCAAAAAGAAGCAGTTAAAACGACAAAGTGTCCGACATCCGGGAATTTAAGATAGAAATATAGTTTTCTCCTGTGGCGAAACTCCGGACTTCGCGGATGTTCAGACGCCAGAAGTTGTTTTTATTTTAATGCAACCCCAAATTTTTAGTTAATCTGGGTTTTAAAAAGACACTCTTAACGGGCATTAAGTCTGTTGAGGACTATTACGCCTCATTAAGACAAATGTAGCTATTGGGTGGCACGTTGGACAGCTGTCCTCTCGCCGGCTGTCTCATGTTATTGTCATGCACAGATTGCGAACAGGGGGGCAGACTGCAAATCAGCTCATCTGGATCAACATGATCACTAGCCCTTATACTCGAATTGGTATTAAACAAATTTCTCTTAGCTAAACGTCAAAAATATATGGTTAGGTGCACCATTAAAAACTTGACATTTGCTATAGCTTAACACATATTTGTTAAATAGTTACAGCTGCTGTTAATGAGATAAAACACATATTCTGAGAAACCAAATAAAACATCGCATCTCTGTAGCATTACACTTTCCCAATGTATAGAACTAATAAAGAGCAATGTGATTCAAGAGTGCCTGAAATAGCCCTACAGAGCAGGGCAAGGTCAAGTTCTTCAAATGGAAGGTCAAACAAGCTCTCATCATTATCATAGTGCAATGGCCCCATGTATAACACAAATACACACTGATGCGATTCCAAACTGGACAGCCAGAAATAGCTCAAGAGTAGTATAAGTTCAAGGGATATTCAAAAAACCCTTATCATTATTAACACAAAATGGGTAGGCTACATACAGTTATTTTAGCTTTAGAAATGCAATCTTGTGAAATGGTAAATATCTGATGCCAAGTCAGCTGCTGCATTATATAGAAGATTCACAGTGTTCTGAATTTAAGCAAAGGCCTTAACTCTTATTTACTTATATGCCACCTTCTAACTTTAGAACCAAGCAGACCATCCAGTCTGATAATAGCTGAAAAATTTGTCCACTGGATCCACTCGATGACTAAGTCTCTTGATAAGTAGAATGGTATTTGGAGATGTATTTTACTGATGTGGAGGCTGAATCCATTGATTTACTGTCAAAAGAGTTCAAGGCAACCAGTTGAATATGAAACTGAAAATCCAAAAGAAGCACTAACATTAATAAACCATCAGCAAGACACAATGTGCCTTTATTTCACATAAATAAATAAATAAATAAATACAAATGTATCCTCAGATGCAGGTCTCCTTAAAAAAAATCTAAGACTCCAATGTTTCCATTATAAATTCCACATTAAGAATAAAGCTCCTTTTGTAACCTATTCTACATATATGGAAGTAAAATCAGGTGAATAAGCTTCAGAGCAACCTTAACCTAGACCAACTGTACATGAGGCATTGCTTACCTTGTGTGAGTCTGACAGGTTTGGTAACTGCTAAGCCATCCATTGAGCACAAATTTCCACAGGGGTATAGGTTGATGGCTCCCCCCACATTTTCAATGTAGCAATGTTGAGCAGTCACACCCGGACCCTGAATATTAATGTCTGTGTTCCCATGACCAAGTGTAGTCTTCCCTGCAACATGTGACAGAGATTCAGTTGATTATTGCTGCATAAAACTACACTGATTAAACATAAGGATGGACAATATAAGGTTTAAAAAAGGATGTATTGAAAAGATGACAATTAATTACTCGTTTTAAATTGTTACAATACTTAGAAAAAATGTTAATAATAATATATGAAATACTTCAGCACAAGGCTTGCACGAGGCTTGCAGCAAAAGGACAAGTTAATGTCTGCTTCTTTAACAAAGACAAGACAGACAAACCCCCACGCCCCTCCCTCCAGTGAACGGACCCGTCTTAGTTATTTCATTCTATGAAGCAGATGTGAGAAAAAGAGCCATAACCCAAGCCTATTGTGAAAGCAGACGTGACAGAGACAGTGGTAGGAAGCAAGTGACAGGGGTGGGTATATGCTGCACTTTAGATTGAAGATGAACATAATTCATTCTTTAAAAGAAGACATTTTTTGGCAGTCATACACATTCCCTTAGACAAACGTGCTCTCACTCAAGCAAGCTCAGCCACACAGTGTGGAGCAACAGGGGGTTGTGTCAAAGTCAGGTCATAGCCTCATAATTCTGTCTCTTGTTCTAAAGCCACTGCCATTGTGAATGCAATTTACAAGAAACAGCTAAAACCTCAAGACTCAGTCCTAAATAGAAACCTCAATCAATACTAGATCCATCATATGGGTGGATCTCACCAATATATTAATATAATTTATGAATTATAATGAACTATCTATCTATCTATCTATCTATCTATCTATCTATCTGTCTGTCTGTCTGTCTGTCTGTCTATATCTATCCAACCATCCATCCATCCATCCATAAACATGAGCACAGGAAATTATAAATTAAATCCATTATAAAATGATTCACTGATGAATAGTGCACTAAATCCACTTCCTCTGGGATTTATACTTGCTCTCATTCTTCCTCAATGTCAGGGGAGGAGAAGTCCTCTATTTGTCATTCTTCATGAGATGAAGTATAGTCAAGCTACGAGGACAGTACAATGAGGTTTGTCCTCTCTCATGAACTTCCTGCACATCACCACACAAAAACAAGCAAATACTAATCTTAATTCGTAGTCGCCAGTTTTTCAGTTGGCATCCCTTCTGTTTGCACGATCATATAATTACCCTCTGGCAGGGGCAGCAGGGTTATAGCCGTACTCAGACGGCCACTTCCTAAGCTGACAAGATGGGGTCGTTCTGCCTGGACTTTGAGAGTCTTGCCTGTTTCAATTAGGTCCAGTGGTGTGCTCTGTGAACATATGAGGACAATACAACAGTAAACCTTTTAATAATGGATTATATTTTACAGCCTTTGATCACCATTAAAGTGACCTATACTTTTTTTGGATGACTGCTCAGGGTTTCTAAAACAGGATTAGTGTAATTCAGTTAGGGCCACTGAGTACGGCAATGACAGGGTTAGGTAACTAGATTAAACGGGTTTAGCTCCATCAGGTACCACCATGCAGGCTAAGAGGCTAACGGATTTAGCTGTTAGATGAGGGACCAGACCAATAAATGACCAAAGGAGGAAGATATTTGGCCTCAGCATGTCACAGATGGAGGTTCTCAAGGGCAGCATGGGTATTATTTGTTTGATAAGTCACACTTTGATGTTTGAGAGAGTGCTGTTCTATCGAAACAAATAGTATAATTCATGTTTTTAATAAGGAAATGGCATATTTCATTTATTTTGTGTCTTTAGATGATGTTAGAATTCACACAGGCTTCGATGCACTAGAAAGGATTTTGGGAACTGAAGAGCAACCAGTGGAAATTTCACATCAGTCCTTCTGGGATGTAAAACTCTGACTTTACTAGAAATGGACAGACCATTCAGATTGTCCAGTAGGCCGGTCGAAAAAAAACTTATATACAAAATAAACATAAAAAAAATTCTAAGAAGTTTATTTCCTTTTAGAATATTCTGACATCATAAGGATGGCCCAGTATAAGTTACAGTGGCCGCAATGTGAAAACGGCTATTTCATGAAGTAAAATGAAGTAAACCCCATTTAAATCAGGCAACATTTGCATTGAATGCATATGTTATACATATAGTGGGTACTCATCCATTACATGGGTTGCGATTGTGATAGACAGGTACAGGATCCTGGGCTGTTTTTAGTCCCATATCCGTGGTATGAATGGACTTTACCCCTCTAACTTTCACACCATTCACCAGTTAAATAAAGATTTCACACATCTTTAAAGTGTCTTCAGATGTCATCTTTTTTTTTTTTTACGAGTCTAGCAACAGCGTCCTTAGAAATAACCTTTAAAACTGAACAGCAATAAGGCTTCTAGTAACAATGTATGAATTCTTTCTAAAGTGATTAAATGTCACTGTAGTTTGTTTTCATATCTTATCCTGTCATCTCCTCATAATAGGGCTGCATATAAAGCTGCTCCACAGTTTTCATTGTCTTCTGACATTTTTTCCATATACAGCTCAGTCTCAGCTCAGCTTGTTTCTGTGTGTATTTGCGTGTGTTTTTGTGTACTCAACTTTACTAGTGAAGTTTTAACAGGTGCTTTGAACTAACAGCTTGATGTTTATGAGACCCTGCAATGTTTGATTGGATGAATACAGTGCAGTGTTTGAGCAAGATTAAATGCAGACAGAAAGGCTGAACTCAGCCTCTCGAATCAACAGTGATGAAGATTAACCTTATAATTAGGGAAAAGTTCGCCTCTTAATTTCCACTTCCTGTGGGGATCTGCAGACGCCACATTTAGGTGACAAAACCTAGGAATTTTGCAGAATTCTTTGCTGATGCTGATGTAGACATTTTAACACCTTATATTATATTCTGTTTTTATGATTTTAATGATGAATAAGCAGAAAACCAACAGTACAACACGCTATATGCATCCATTATACACACTAACGTTCAAACGTAACTTTTGCATGGTATGTGTGGGTGGTCCTGTTGTTTCCTACGTTATGAGGATCAAATGTCCCCACAAGTATAATAATACCAGTAAATTTTGACCCTGTGGGGACATTTTTTGGTCCCCATGAGGAGAACAGCTTATAAATCATACAGATTGAAGTTTCTTGAATATCTAAAAATGCAGAAAGTTTTGTGTGAGGGGTCGGGTTAGGTTAAAGGGGTCATATGATGCTGCTAAAAAGAACATTATTTTGTAGACCTGATGAGTCTGACGGCCGTGTTCTGGAACATTCTGATTCAGCCTGTCCATGTCTATGGATTTATTGGTCACTTCATGACATTCGTTAAGATCCTGGAATTACAGAAAGATAAACAGCAAGATGTTTTTAAAAGTCCAAATATGACCAAAAATTCTTAGTCAAAGAGGTGATTAGGTTCAGTCTCATAAAATGCGAGTGGACTTTTAAATAAAGAGTCATAATCACAACGTATATTTGTTTTATTTATACAACATAAACAGACTATTAGAATAAACATGTAGAGCTGGCAAAGTTACAACATTTCAAGCTTGTGTCTTTGATCCTATCAGTGAACAATAAAACACATCAGATGTTTCCTATTGTAGACCAAATACAGTGATGCAATGAACTAACAAATGCATACTGTGATTAACCAACTGTCGTGAACAGGCCGGAGTCTTAGTTGAAATACACAGCATGAGTCAGTGTGACTCATCTCACACACAAACACACACAACCAGACTCACAGTGAACAGATGCAGCCAATTATCTATGGCACAGACACAGGCACATTAGTGTGATCAAACCAGAGTAGACCTCAGGTCAGTACACACATCACAGCAGATCAGTCATTTTGGAACATCCCTAACCTGAAATCCCCCTCTCCCTCCTTCCCTTACCCCTCCTCCGTCTCTGACACATACCACTGTCTCTCAGAAAAGCCACACTGGAAATCAAGCAGAAACAGATCCGCAAGACAAACTGAGCATCAGGGTCTATGTGTGTATGTATCTGTGTACATAACAGCCATTGTGAATCAGTGAAGGGCAGTAACGTCACTAAAAGTAGCAAAGCATTTTGTTGAACTACATTTCTCGAGGTGATACTGTAACTTAAAATCATGTAACTTTGCAGTGTGATTTTATTAATTAGCAGTTTAGCTGTTTACAATCAGAACAATTGACACAGATTCAAAAGAGCCTTTTATTTTGAATCAGAATAATTAGTTCTGATTCTAAACAACCAACAGAACGCACTGTAAAAATCCCAAGGGATTCAGAACTACTTGTTCGAATAGGTTCTTTTTAACCAGTCTAAGTATTCAAAATCACAAGTTGTCAGTTATACCGAAAGCTTTTAGCTTAGTTTAGCTAATTTCATCTTAGCATAGCTATAGATAGTTTGTAGCTTAGCTACATAACTCAGCTACATTCATAATTTGCAGAACATCGAAACGTTAAAAACATTTTCCATAATATGTGCATATCTATATACTGTATAATGGTAATTGAGAATCAGTGAAGCAGTTTGGCTGTTTACAATCAGAACATGTGATTCTGATTCAAAAGAGTAATTTATTCCAAAATCACTCGTTCTGATCAGGGCCGTCCTTCGGGGGGTGCAACTGGTGCGGTCGCACCGGGTCCCCGCGGCGAACGGCCCAAGGAACGCGATCGCGAATGGACCGAGGGGGGCCACGCTCCCTACCTCACACCAGGCCCCACGTCAGCTAAGGACAGCCCTGGTTCTGATTCTAAACAGCTAAAAGAAACTAATGTAAACACATCTTTACTGCTGAAATAGCATATTGTCAAGAAAAATTTAACACTGTAGCATTTCACCACGCAACATTTTCTTGACAATTTATTATCAATAAAGACAGTATCAGCTGTCTAGAATCCGAACAAGTGATTCTGATGTAAAATAAATGAATCTTCTGAATCAGAATCTCTTGTTTTAATTGTAAACACCCAAACTCAGTATTCCTAATTGATCTGACCTGTTTTGGATCACTTCTTTTCAACCAGTCTTTTCACATTTTTCTATAGCAGGGGTGTCCAGTCCTGCTCCTGGAGGCGCACTGTCCTGCAGAGTTTAGCTCCAAACCCAATTAAACACACCTGAACCAGTTAATCAAGGTCTTACTACCAGGCTAGAAACGTCATGGCAGGTGTGCTGAGGCAAACCTGTAGGACAGTGGCCTCCAGGAATGAGTCTGGACAGCAGGGTGCGAACTACGGGGGAGCTAGGGGGAGCTCGGCTCCCCTTAATAAGACATGGGCTCCCCTGAAAACGGGATTTGTGAAATTTTGGGGGGTCTCAAAAAATATTGACAATGTGTTATTTTGACGTGCAATTTCAGTTTTGTGTAATGTGATCATCGTGGATTATTATGTGTAAAATTGCAAAAATATCATTCATCCATGCATGACGGCGATTTAAACCTAATTCACTTCAATAAAGATAACTATACATAATATTCTTGTCATGAGCATCGCGGTGTGGGGGCGTTTCATGTGAACTCAAAGACAGCCTGATGCTTTGTTTATAGACTATGTGTGGGTGGCTGCTTGTTGTTTCACCTATCAATTCGTGTCGATAAAGTATAATAGGGTAAATCCTGTATAGCGATTTATCTTATATAGTGCTTGCATAAAGCAAGTAGTGCATACACTTGTAGCTGTTATGTATCTTTGTAAGTCATTGTAAGCCCTTTGAGGCACGCGCAAGCGCACGAACCCCACGATATTACAAAAAAAACAAGTGGGGTCCCTCAAATTCCACGGTATAGTTCGAACACTGCTGGACAGCTTAGCTAGCTACATAGCTACATTCAACATTTATAGTCAAGTACACCAAAAACAGACCAAATATTTTCAATATTAATTCCAATATGGAAACTAATATAACATTATATAACAGATTACCTTAGTCTGCCAGTTGTCCAATGAATCAACTCTTTCCATGAGGAGCACCTAAAAGGACATCTGAATTTGTAGAGGAGTTTGAAAGGCAAAGCTATGTAAGATTAATTCAACTCTTTCCTCTGCTGGCATGTCCAGTCAGGGAAACGACTGGAATGAGACGCTTTGCTTCTCCAAACAAGCGAAGACAGGTTAGGTACAGTGAATGCATATTCATTAAGATGATGATGGACATTTACGGTTTTTAACTCAACAGCTGGTATAAAATCAAACTTCCTCTTCTTTTGCTCCTTCCTCTAGCTAGCCTCTCTATCCTTTCATTTCTAATGTCATGTTTGCAAGTGCAGCTGGCAAGTGCTGCAGTCTGCCTTTCACAATCACGTCAAGTGTATGACACAGAGGGAAGAGAGAACAGAAAGCCTCTGTCACTATACTGAATATGGTCACTGCTCTCATCACTCACACACACACACACACAACTGGACAATACAGAGTCACTGACATTAAGCGTACACAGACAGATACTGACGCCTTGAGTCAAATACCTGTACAAACAAATATACACCTAATAGCGTTCATCTGGAGTTTTTCATGCTGGTAAGTGGCTTGCCTCTGAAACATGTCATTAAGTCTGCCGTTATGCCACTGTGTCCTGCCCTCTGCAGCAGAAAATAGACTCAACCACATAGCACAAACCACAAAGCTCCTCTTACAGGGGTTATAATCATACAGGGTACACGTATATAGACACATACACACACACACACAAGCACTAGACACATAGCAGTATGTAAGAGTTACAGGGAGAAGTGAGGAAACCACAGCAGGAGCATAGCTAATATAACAGTACAGCTAAATATAGCACGGACAGTAGGTGAATCTGGGAAATAGAAACCAAAGACTGGAAAAATGAAGGCCTGATGGCTTTTCTACCCATGTTAATACCACAAAAATGTTAAATCAAACTGAGATTTAAAATGTCTTTTATGAAAAAATCATAACCAAGACAGGCAGCAGTTAAATATATACAACAAACAGCACATTAAAAACGTAAATAAATAAAAATAAATCTATGCTTAAAATGGATATATAAAAATATACTAATAATGACTATTTAAATATATTCTAATATTAAACTATAAAATTGTAATTTATTTATTAAAATTTATACTAAAAATAAAACTCAAAATGTATATTTTAAGTATTTTGATTCCATGGAATGTATAATATATTTAAATTAATTTGAGTTATTTTTGCACTCATGTTCTCTGCATAAATCTGATAAATAGTATG